CAATAGGATGAATGTAAAACTGATATTCTCCCATGCAACCCCACATAATTCACAATAAAAACTTAAAAAAAAAAAAAAAAAAGAATATGGAAGAAATATATAGTTCCAAAAAGAATTGGTCAATAATCAACAATTCCAAGGAGTCAGCTTATGGTCAAGAAACAATGGTATTGAAGAAAAAAAATCCAGGCTGCACTAAAAACTGATGAAAATAAGACTCCAGGAATTGATGCAATACCAACGTAAATATTTCAACAAATAGATGCAATGCTGGAGGCGCTCATTTGTGTATGCCAAGAAATTTAGAAGACATTTTACCTAGCCAACAGACTGAAAGACATCTATATTTGTGCCCATTCTAAAGAAAAGTGACCCTACAGAATGTGGAAATTACTGAACAATATCATTAATATCCCATGCAAGTAAAATTTTGCTAAAGAAAATTCAAAAACAGTTGCAGCTGTGAGTCAACAGGGAGCTGCCAGAAATTAAAGCCAGATTCAGAAGAGGACACAGAATAAGGGTTATGGTGATGTCACATGGATCATGGCTGAAAATGGAATACCAAAAGATGTTTGCTTGTGTTTTATTGACTATGCAAAGTTATTCTACTATATGGATCATTAAAAACTATGGATAATATTGTGAAAAATGGGAATTCCAGAAAACTTAATTGTGCTCATGTGGAACCTATACAAAGGCCAAGAGATAATAGTTCAAATGAAACAAGGAGATACTGAAATCAGAAATTGTGTCCATCTGGTTTGTATCCTTCTTCTGCACTTAATCTGTATGCTGAATAAATAATCCTAAAAACTGGACTTCATGAAGAAAGAATCAGGAACAGGATTTGAGGATGGCTTATTAACAACCCTTGATATGCAGAATGATGCAACCTTGCTTGCTAACAGTTAAGAGGACTTAAAGCACTTACTGATGACAAAGAATACAGACAGGATTACACCTCAATGTAAAGAAAATAACAATCCTCACACCTGGACCAGTAAACAACATCATAATAAACAGAAAAGATTGAAATAGTCAAGGATTTCATTTTACTTGGATCTACAATCAACACTCATCGAAGCAGCAGTCAAAATTAAACAACATATTGCTCTGGGCAAATATGCTACAAAAGATCTCCTTAAAGAGGATTATAATCATTGCAGTGAATCGAAATACAATAGGATGAATGTAAAGCTGATGTTCTCCCATGTAAACTATCACTCAATTCACACATTTAAAACTACAAAAAGATCTCCTTAAAATGTGGCCTCCTGTTCCTCCCACCACCAATACAGCACTGAGTCACTGCCTGAGCAACTCTGCCACCTTGTTGCTCATTCTAGCCAATGATATTTGGAGTTCTTACTAAACAACATGGCAGACATTGACAACAAAGAACAGTCTAAACTTGATCAAGGTTTGGACAATGTTGAAAAAACAGAAGAAGAAACTGGTGAAACAAAAATCAAAGTGTGTCAATTGACTGTTCAGATAATGCAAAATCTTCAGATTCTTGCCGCCCTTCAAGAAAGACTTGATGGTCTGGTAGATACACCAACAGGGATACATTGAAGCTTGCCTAGGGTAACTACCTTAAGACAAATGAATGCTCTTAAAAATCTTCATGTTAAATGTGCATAGATAGAAGCCAAATTCTATAAGGAAGTTCATGATCTTTTTTTTTTCTATTTGCAGTTTATTCTTTTTTTTTTT